GCATGCCCCGAAGCATACCTCGAAACGTACCCCGAAGCATACCCCCCATCCCAACATTCCTGCTTGGACGCCTGTTTGGCGGAACCACCCATATATAGGGCTTATATAAGTTATATAAATACTAAGATATCGCAGGCCCTGCACCCTCGATCCGACCCAACATCACGATAAACCCGAAGTGCGAATTTCCTATACTCTGCACCAACCACGGCCACACGCGCCCAAAACTTGCAAATCAAAGGATAAACACGAAGAGCCCCAAGCCCATGAGACTTCAGCAAGCCCTAATCCCTACTCATCCTTGAGCCTAAACGCTAAAATAAGAATCCCGAAACCAAGCGCCCAACCCCGAAACAGGAATCCCTAAGCCTAAACCCGAAACCTTTAAACCCCAAATCCCGAAACCCTGTCGCACCCCTCAACCCGAAAAAGCATTTCTAATCCCTTAAACCGAGAAGACTCCTAGACTCTCCAAGGCTCGGCAAGCTCTCGGATCAGGTCGTCCCGCAAGAGGTGCCTCAACTCTGCCTCTCGTCCTAGATTGGAAGCCGTTGGGTCTTTAGGGTTTATGGCTTTAGGGCTTTGGGCCTTTGGGGTTTAGGGTTTTAGGGCTTTAGGGCTTGGGCCTTGAGGGTTTTAGGCCTTTTTGGGCCGTTAGTCCTCTTGGGTTCAGAGTAGCTTCCCTATCGATGTTTAGGTTGTTGCTGCTTAGGGTGCTGTTGAAAAGCCAGCGCTGAGCTTGAAGGATTCAAAAACATTATAACGGCCCAGAGACCCATGCGCACGTGTAACAATATTAATAACAATAATAATAATTACTATAATTAATTATTGTAATTATAATTATTATAATGATATTTCAACAATAATTATAACAAAAATACTAATAATAGTACGTGCAAGAGCTAAAGGGCTTGTCGTCCGAGACGAGCAGACTCTCCTGCCCAGGTGGAGTGAAAGTCTGCGCCATCAATTGTGGGGCCTGTCATTCTCTCGTGCCTGGCCTGCATTTTGGTGGATCAGGCAGGGATTATTTGCAGTTCGTTCACTATACAGGCCTTAGTGCTGAACGACTCGGATTAGGGCTTCGGGCTGTATATCATAACCTTCCTCTGTAGAGTCAAAGGGGTTACCCTTCTCTAGTATGCGAGGTGTCGCAGTTCTGCAGCTATTCGTCTGAAGCCCGTTGCGAATTTCCACTTTGATTTTTTGTTGTTTTGCTTTGGGCGGTGTGTCCTTCCTCCCTCTCAATCTCGGAGTGCCTCGACCAGAGTAACCCTAACCCTGAGCCCCGTCCCTCCCCCCAAACTCATATGCTCGGATGTAAGTCAGCTTGAAGCCGGGGGGTTCGGGATGATGGAGTGGTATATGCGACCCTAACACCAGCCTATGATTGCCGTATGAAGAGACTTGCGCAATCCCCGCCCGAAAGAGAAGCCCGAAAAGGCTTCAGAGGCACAAAAAACCCGATGACAAATTTCGCATTTTTTGATTGACAATGCTCCCGAAATGCCCCCGAAGTTGAATCCTGGACTCTAAAATCCATGCGTGTAGGTCCTAGATTGCGTCTCCGCCGAGTCTAGACTCAAAAGTCCGAGTACCGCGCCAGACTCCTCCGGCCGGTAACGTACCCCTCGCCATCTGATGGCTCAGGCCATCACAGAGGGAGGATCGAAGGCAAGAAGCTCGTGGGCGATCTGGTTATGGGTCTTTGGCGTTTAGAGGGTTTGGGGGGTTGTAGAAAACTCAACTAGGGCGTCAGCGTCGGGCGAGGATGTCCAGAAAACTTGGGCTCAGATTCAGGATGCAAGGCTTCGGTTCATGACAAGGAAGCTGCCCTGAACCTTGGCCCTTCAACATCCTTCCACAGGGGTAATTCAAGCGCCTTTATGAGGAGTTGGGTCGAAAGAGTGTGGGTCTGAAGTCAGGCTTTGGGATGAGGCGCACAGGCTTCTGTTCTGCTACAGCCGGCACTTAAGCTTTAAACAACGATTTCAGCCTCGCCTCTCGAAGAAGTCTCTGGGGCCGTGGTCGGCTCACCTGTAATGCTGCTGCCTCAAGCCCTACTTGTAGCCCCAACCTCATCTGCAAAGCACCTCGACCTAATCCCGTGCCGCAGACCTGACCCAATCCCAGTCCCTCATGGGTTCTTATGGGTATGGTCATAAAGCGACATATTTCAGAAGTAAAGAAACCATGCCTGCGACTGATTAATGTGCTTATAGTAAAAAGCTACAGCCATGAAGGCAAAGAGAAGCCTCCCAACAAGTTTCAAGGAGCTGTCATGTAAACCCCAGGATTTGACTCAATCGCCAATACCCCGAAGCCCTGGAGCTGCACAGAGACCCAAAGCCCTAAAACCCCAGGCCCTAAATGTCGGGCCCAGAGACACGCTCACAGAAGGATAGAAATTCCTCTGCGAACCAGAAGCCCTATAGGACCTCACCCCTACAGATGCCTACACCCTATAGACCCTATGTATCCTTTTAGATGCTGAACCCTCAAACACAACGGTGAGCTGATAGGTTTGGGCCTGGGGCAGCAACGTTCACGGACAGCTTGGCCTCGGGATGAACGGTGGCTGGGCTTCGTTTCAGCTTCGCTGTTTTTTTTGGCGTTTTGGGTTTTTGGGTTTTGGGTTTTGGGTTTATGGGTTTAGGGTTTGTAAACCCTAAACCCTAAACCCCGGTCTGGGTTTAGGGTTCCAAAGTCCCTAAAAGTCCAGAGTTTTGAAAACTGAGGCGAGGGCTCCCAGCGCGTGCGCCCCTCCTTGGTGCCGGCCGGGAGCCCTAAAGCAAGACCGGACAAGCGGTTTGAGGGTTTGGGCTCTAGGATTCGGGGCCCTGGATCGTCAGTGTTTTGGGGGTTTAGGATTCAGTCAGTGCTCGGCCTTTCGGGCCGAAGCTTTTTTAAGCGCTGCTGTTGGATTCAATCGAGCCGGTGTCAACGTTGAGCTTGAGCTTTTGTTTGGGGAGAGCTTTATCCAACATCGCAGCGTGCCTCCCCTCCCCCTGATCAACATCAACACCAGAATAGTAATCATCACCATCAGCAAGCATCATCATGGCCATCTTCGCCGCCAACATCGTCGCTATCATCGTCACCATCACAGCAGGTCCGGAATTGCCGGGTGCTGTCTGGTACGTTGAATGAACTTCAGCTGCGTGAACTTCGCTTAAGTTTCTGGGGTGATGAGTGCCCGGGGCCTCGGCTGTACCACATTTACAGCGCATGTTGTTCGAGGAGCCATGATCCCGAATTACCTCAACCTGCGTCGTAACCTTCTTGGTAATCAGCTTACTATTGTATACTGTATACTGTACTCTTCTATACTATACTTCGCCATACCCTACCGTACACCAGCTTCAGAGCAACCCGGGCTGAACCCTAAACCCTCGACACTTCAGCTCTACGCACCCTCAACAATCGCAGCCGGTCATCGCAAGGCTCTGAGCAACCGACGGGGAATGCTGGTTTGCCAGGTTCGGCAGAGATGTTCATAAGTTGTTCAGGTCTTTACAGTTTGGAGATCGGGGGTTTCCTACGAAACGGACAAAAAGAAATGTCAAAGTCTCGCGCCTTTCTGTTTGTATTCGAAGGCTCAGAAAAGGTCCTTGCGCGCTTTGGCCTCAGGGGAATGTCGTGCTGCAGGTCGTCTATCTGACAGTTTAGAAGCACCAGGTCTGAAAAGCCCAACCCTAAACCCAAAGTTAGTTGGCGTGAAGTTGCCGACCTGGGTTTGGACTCTTTCGTACTCTTTTCGCGGCTGGGCAAGGCAGCCTCTCAGGCTGACCGCTCACAGCTTTTGCGCGCCGTGTGGATGGGTTTCGCCATTGCAAGATCCGTGGGTGGCTAGGTTGTCAGAGTATATCGGTTTGCAGCCTTTAGGGTGTGAGGGCCTTAAGGTCCAGAGGGCCGCCAGGGCTCAGCCTTCGAGACATTTAAGAAGTAGCATTTAGGGTTTAGACCCCCATCTTATCGGCGTGCAATATGCAATGCATCGCTCACAAGACAGGAATGTGCCTCTTCAGTGATTGAGGAAGTGAGTTTCGGCCAGTGGGGCTGCTGTTCTGGGCCAGGGCATTAAGGGGCGAACTAGATCGCAGCGTTCCTTTCAAGCTACGAGGCTTTGCTCTGAGGTTGTTTTACATACGAAGTCTTTGAATCACGAATTCGCCGGAAGTTGTTCAAGACCTAAGTAAAAACCAGCTGGGAGGCCTCGGCGGCGTCGAACCACTCGCTGGCGGGAGATCGGTGGTGTTTCGGGGTTTCGTAGGCTGCTGTCTACAACAACTGGGCCATTTCAAGCATCTTCCCCTGAGGGTCCAGGTATCCATGTAAGTTTACTTTGACCCTAAAGGACTTACACACACATACATGTGTGTATATATATATATACATAGATAGAGAGAGAGAGAGAGATAGATATATATATATACATATACATATTTACAGGTATATATTCTTTTATTTGGGAAATAAGGCCTCAGTATTCACTACATGAGTACGTGGACCCTTAGAGTTCTGAAGGCGACTCCCCCTAAATGTAGCAGCCTACTTTTCGAGGGTTTAGGGTTCAGGGTTTTCGGTTTACGGAGCGTATTCATCAAGAACTCCATAGCCTCTCTTGTGGTCCCTGTTTGAACTCGTATTATGATCAAACTTCCCCGAAACCCCAGCCTAAATATTAAGACCCTTGGAAAGTGTTCCTCGCCGGCCGGAGCTTCTGTAGTTTTGGAAAGTCCCACAACCTGGTCAGCATCTCCTGGAAACAGCGCACGTCTCAAACCTAAACCCAAAACTGGGTCCTTGTTGGATACAATTTTACATTTTTGTTATAATCAAAACGCAATAAGGATTAAGCGTGATCATGTTTAATATATCCCCAACAGGGCAGCAGAAAAATCCTGAGCTCAAAGCCTCGCGCCCGAAGCCTTACTAAGCCCCGACACCATGATACCTCATCTTCGAACCTGCACAATACGACGGTTTAGGGTTTAGGGTCGGATCTCATCATCTTACTACTTGATATTTGAGGCCGGGGCTTCGAGCCCCCGGACCATTTATCCTCAAGCGACGCACTTCCAGGGCTTCGGGGGTGGAGAGTTGGGAGTTGAGGGTCAGGCTTCAGCTATTGTCGTTCATGAGTGTTAGCTGTGTAAGCTAGCGCCAGATACCATCCTTGACAACGCACAATCTTAATGACGGTAATCGTACCTCGACTCTTGATGTTGGCAACTCGTGAACCGTCAAGCAGGCTGCTGCATCTAGTTTTACTTCTTGGTGGCACAGTTCCTACGTGATCAAGCTGCGAGATACTTCGCAGCAGAATCCCTGACATCGAAATCAAGACCCGCGACTCGCCACTTGCCCTCCTTGGACCCCTAAAGCTGGAACTTTCCAAAGGCACCAAGCCCTACACACCTGAGCCCCTACAGCCGAACCTCACCCTCCTAAAACCGAAGCCACCCTGCATCAGGTGTTAACCACCACAGGTGAAGTGTATGCCTTCGGAGAGAACGGCTACTTCGATGCAACAGAGATGTTTGAATTCAAAAGACAACCCCACCATGCCCTAATATCCCCAGAAAAAGGGCCGGAGCAAAAGGAAACATATGTTATTCAGCGTTTACTCCTGTGATATCGTCTAGACACCACCAACAGTCCAGTCCAATGGTGCAGGCGTCGGCATTCTGAATTTTGGGCCTGAGCTCCAATTCCTTGGGGTTCTAACGTGCAGTGTCCGAGTCAGGGGTTGGTTGGGAATCGCCAAGCTGCCGGCTGCAACGCCACGCCTTCCAATCCTGAAGCTGGCAAATTACACATCTTAGCCGTCTAGCAACCAGGCAAGAATCCAAGATCGCCTTTACACACCGGGCGGCCAGGATTATATTCGGCCAACAGGTTCAAGACCCTTGAATCCGAACCTGCAGAGTATGCTCAAACAAGGTAAACCTAAACCACCCACCCAAAAAGGTGGAATCCCTGAAAAGCCCAAACCCTAACTTAAACCCTGGAAGCCCCCTGATTAAACCCTGTCTCCCCTCTCGTCCTTCCTTGTCCAAGGTCATGGTCAGCTTGGCTTTCCGACAGTGAAGAGCAGCTTCTCCTGAAGGGCTTTTCGAGCTTGAGCTTTAGGGAATTGAGGCCTTTAGGGTTTAGGGCTTGTGGCTTCACGGATTTTTAGTCTAGGTTTATGAGAGTTTTCGACCTTGGGCTTCAGGGTTTAGGGATTAGTGCTTGTGGGTTTGTGTTATTTATTTGTCTAGGGCTACTCGAGTGTGCTGCCTCGGTGGGCGCTCTCGTGGGCTATGGGGGGTATATTTAGGATTTACAGGCTTTCGGTTTTTAGCTCGCGTGGCCAGTCGCAGGAAATGCCTGCGGATTGCATCAAGGGTTTCTCCACTGCAGATGCCACAGGGATGCCGCATTTGATATTATAGCTGTGATCATTTTCAATGGCCCTTTCATGGAATCCTGAACTATATTGAGTAAAACCTATCATGCCGCAACTAAAGGCATTCATGTACAGGGAACCCGAAGTGGATCAGGGCCGTTGCGCGAAAGCCTGCCATTTACTGCGGCTCTGCTTTTGTTGTTTGCGCTGTCTCCTAATTACCGCTGTTTAACAGGGAACTCCAACCTCTGAACCAATGAACAGCTTGGACATGGTCCCGTGCTTCGTTCAGGTAATACCGACGCCCAGACGCAGCACGACAACGGACTGCCTGCATGCGTTTTTACAGAGAGCCTTTAACCAGAAGCCCTAAATCCGCTAGGTGGGACTAGTGGCTAGGACTGATTGAAGTGTGTGTTGAACCAAGCTATTCGCTGGGTGAAGCAGTCAATGCTGGCTTCTATCTGCTGACTGCAAAAATGCTGTCCGTCGCGACAGCATTTGGAGACATCGGCAGTCAGGCTTTCGTGCCAACGACCCTGGCCCTGACGTTATGAGTCTATTGCAGCGGTGCCCCTGAAGAGGTGAGACAACGTCAATCCATCGGTGTCTGCCTCATTGGAGTTTCAAGCGAGAGCCCTGAATTGTCAAATTGTGCAAATCAGCTGAAAAAAAGCAACCCTTGAAAGACCGCATGCAACCTTAGCCTGACAGAAAGCTGTTTTGTATGTGTGATTATAATGAAGATATATATATATATATATGCACACACACGTGTTTCTGTCAGGAGACCCCCTGTCGCAGCATCAGATGCTCCAGCTGCAATCCATGCGAGAGCGGGCGAAGGCCAGGGTTTTGAAAGTGGCAGCTCTTGTTCTAGGGGGGGGGGTAGGGTTCAGGGTTTAGACCGGATTTAGGCAGTAAGCTCTCTTAAACCCCCCCCCCCCTTCCCAAAACCATCAGATCGTAGCTTCACAACTCCTTGAGATGGAGGTGCAGTTGAAGGTCGGTTCTGATGAAGGCTTACGTTCAGTCAGAGCTTGAAATCTTGGATCTTAGGTTCGTGGCTTACCAAGGCTTCCCAGCGTCTTCCCATTAAAACGGTCTGGGTCCCTGGGGGTCTACATAGGGCTCCTCGCATGAATGCCCAAGCACAGGGGGGGTTGGGGGTTTCATGGCGCCTGAGTCTGCCGGGTACACTCTGAGCCTGAAAAGGTCGAAGGGGTTGCCGGTGAAGCTTGTATGCTTTTGGATTAGAAAGGGTTGGATTAGAAAGGGTAGGTCGAGCCACACAAACCGGGTGTCAGACATTCAATACTCGTGGAGAGGTAGATATACAGGATATGTAGTTGGGGGAACACCAAACAGGTGAATGGATTCATAGATAGGCAGATAGGGAGACAGAAACACCACCAGGGTTCAAGGCAATGCGGGCTTTCGTCTGCGCATTCACAAGACTGTGTTGTGGTTTGAGAATCCACGGTTTGCTTCGGTTGTGGAGAAGACGGCTGGCTTGAGGGTTGTTTGTTTAGGCAACCCCACCATTCCACCCCTAAACCCTTCACTCATAACCCTCAACCCTAAACCCTACCTTACACTGCCCACTCGGGCCGAACCCCTTAACCTCACCTCTAAATCCAGCTTGTTCAGAGCTAGGGGGCCTGTGTAGTCCCTCTACCCCCTAAACCCTACACCCCTAGACCCCCCCCACGTTCTTCAAAGGCGCGCAACAAAGTGGAAATGGACCAGCCCAAGGTGGGCTGCGGGGTTTAAGCTTTAAAGGGTGAGGCATTGAGGATGTATTGTTGTTTTTTGTAGGGCTTTATAGGGTTTATAGTAGGGTTTACAGGGTTTATAGGGTTTACAGGGTTTATAGGGCTATTATAGGGGTTGCATGGTTTAGGGTATAGGGATTGTAGGGCTTTATAGGGTTTAGGGTCTTGGATGGAGATTCCGGGCTTGTCCCTCACAACTATAGAGTTCAGGCAGCTGTTGGTCTACGGTTCGACGAGTGCTTGGGTATTCGAGCTGAGTGTTGTTGCCTAATCAGGTCTGGTCTGCTGCATTGCGGGGGTTTAGGGTTAGGGTTTAGGGTGTAGGGTTTAGAGTGTAGGGTTTATACCTTCAAGTCAGTTCCTGTAAGCATGATTCAGCTCGAAGCTTTGTGGCCCTGACAGCAGCGACTCGTTGGAACATTTCTTATTGATTGACTGCCTGCCATTCTTCCAAGAACCGTTCCTGGCGAATTTTGCTTTGTCTTCTGCAAGACCGGGAAGCTTCAAAGGCTTGGAGCGAGTGTTTCGTATCACAGATATGCATTCAGCCTTGAAGCTTTCGAACTTCACCTCGCTTGAAAGCTCACTCCGTCGGTTCCCTGGACGGCTCTACTTCTCGCAGAGTCGTGTCAGGGGCCTAAATAAAGCTCTGGAGTGAGGGTTGTTGTAGGGTTCGGGCCGCAGAAGGCCCAGGAGGACCTGGTTTAGGGTTTAGGGTTCAGCCCAAGGCTGTTCCCCAAGAATGTCTTTTCTTCGGGACCCTCTAAACCGTTGCGCAGAATTCTTGCTTTGCTTACAACCGAGAAGTTGGACGGCAACCCAGAAACTCCGCGACGACTAATACAAAAGGATCTCGGTATAGTTGAACTAAGGAGTCTTCCTGAGCCAAGGGCAAGTTTACACGGATAGGCACACACGGACATTTATGGTTCATAGGTCTTAGGGGTTCAACGCCCTCCAAAACCTATACCAAACTCCAAAAAAATCCGGGTGTAAAAAGATCCGTCGCCTTGGCCAGCTCTATGAGAATGGGGTCGCGACGCTGTGGCTGCCGACCCGAGCCAGCCCCTCATGTCGGGATGTAGCTGTGGGGCTTCGCGGGTTTGGGGTTCAGGGGCCTTGGTCCTGAGAGTTTAGAAGCAAAAGCCTGGGTTCCTGGTGGGTATGACCCGTGCTTTGAGTGCAAGTGCCAAGGCCAGGAATCCCCCGGAGGAGTTCCCTTAAACTCTACCTGCCAAACACGAAAGTTTAAACTTGTAGTCCACTCAACCTTAAGTTTGTGGGCAGTTCTCTGAATTGGGGTCCCCTGTTGAGAGGCCAAAGGTAGGGGCGCATCCTTGCAGAAAGGACCTTAAATTAACTGCAACATCCGAGATCCACCACAAACCCTGCAGCCTACAAGCCCTGAGCCTCAGAAACCCCATACTAAACCCTAAGCCCTTATAGTTTAGAAGCCGCCGTACCGAGGTCGTCACACTGTCGCAGTATCGAGTTCGGGCCGTGGCCACGGGAGACGCTTGGCCTTCGCGGGACAGGGCTGAAGGTTCGGCGACCAGAGGGTCTACATCAGGGCGGTTACTTGAGGGGTGGTTTTTTTTACATGTTTGAGGTGGAAGATTTTTTCGGATATAGGGTTTTCCGATTTGGGATTTGGGGTGCAGGGTTGGCAGTTTGGTGCTTCGTGCTTGGGATTTAGGGACCGCCGTGCCGAAGACTATGGCCCGGGGTTAAGGTCATATGCGGAGTGACATAGCAGAGGTTTGCAGTTTCTCCTAAACTGCAACTGTCCGCATTGTTGCCAGGCGATCGGTTTGCTGGCAAAGCTTGAATTACGGTAAAGCCTGCTGGGCCGATGAAGAAGTAGTTGTGCGCTTGGGCGGGCTATACCATCAGGTTTTCATGCTTCTCCTTGTTCCCTGAATGAAAGAGGCGTGTTCCTCAAGGTTCCACATCTACGTTATGTAGCGATGAATAAGTTAGGTCTGCCTAGAATGTTGCAGCACGGCTCGTTCGTTTTGAGGGTAACAGGCTTCAGCCCACGATGCAGCTATACCTCCAGACGCTGCCAAGGACAACACAGTCTTCATCCGAAAAGCCCTAAACCCTAGGCCCTAGATCCTAAACCCTAAACCCTACATACGGTAAATCCGGTGTTCTGACCCGCAGCATGTGTAGGGCTCAACTCCAGCTCTGGGGCCCAAAACTATGCGAAACCCTTGAATGCTGAATCGCAAGCCCTTTTCCGAAACCCTAAACTCTATAAACCCTAAACCCTAAACCCAAACCCTTCTTCCTAAATCGTAAATCCTTTTGGCAGCTGCGCCCCTTTCAGATCTAAATCCCAAAACATCAGCGCGGAAGCTAAAAGCCTTGAATCCACCCTGGACCCTCCCACTAGCCTCTATTTTCAGGTACTGATGATGATGATGATGATGAGGATGTTAATTCTTACTATGACTAATTATGATTATGGTTGTTATTACTACGAAGATTATGATTGCCATCATTGTCTTTTTGTTTACAACATGTCATAACCAAGGACATGCACACCTTGACCATCGCGGAGCATCACCATGGATAGGTGGCGCGGTTCAGGTTTAGAGCTTGGGTTTAGGGCTTTGTTTCGGGTTTCAGGGTTTGGGGTTTTAGGGTTTAGGGTTTTAGGGAATGAAGCTTCCGGGTTTGGGGTTTAGCTGGGTTCTCGTTTGAGGCGTTTTTTTGTTCATGTTGATTCCCTTCTAATTCTACGACGATAACGGTTCTAAGAACAAAGGCTTGGGGTCCATTGTGCTCAGGGGTTTGGGCTTGAAGTGCTCGAAGCAATTTTAGTCTGTGTATGTATGTATGTATGTATGTATGTATGTATGTATGTATGTATGTATGTATGTATGTATGTATGTATGATGTATATATATATATATTATGTATATTATATTACATTACATTATATCACATTGTATTATGTTATATTATGCTAAATTATATTATGTTATATTGTATTGTATTATATTATACTATAATATATTATATCATATTATATTATTATTGTTAATATATATATATATATTATGTATGTACATATGTATGTGTGTATATATATATACATACATACGCATGCGTATATGTATACATACGTATATATATATATATAGATATAGATGTACTTACTTACTTATACATATGTATGTATATATATACACAGACATATATGTTCGTCATAATATCTTTTCCTTAGGTGGTGTTGTACGCAAGTCTCCAGCAATATGAGTGCCTCAACTTGTTTGTCCCTTCTGGCTGGGCTCTTTGGCATGGTACCTGAGCAGAGGACGAGGTTTGTAGGATCAAGTGCAGTGAAATTAGGTGTAGCAGAACAGCTAGCATCGCTACAGAGAACATCATATCTCCTACGGCTTCTTTCGGGTTGAGTGTATAGCAAACACTGCCTCCAGACTTGAGCGCTCGTTCGTCATATCTGGGCGCCCTCGCCGTTCCAGCAACCCCAGTGGCCCTTGCTATGTCATGTTACTCCAGCAGCCACGTAGGTACCAGGTCCCATACAAGGCCAAACCACCTGGACGGAGCCACGGACTTACCCGAGGTATGATGATTACTCCACGCCGCAGACATGAAAGTGCAGGTCTGCGGACAGATGTGCAATGTTGGCAAATAGAAAAGTGGCTCGTGTTATGATTCGACACTCTCTGTCTCCTTTATCTCTCTCCACCTGTACCGCTATCTCTGTTTCATGCCTCTCTCTCGCTCTCTCTCCCCCTTCCACGTCGTGTTAGCTTACAGGTTACTCGCAGACCCTCACAAACAAACAAACAAACATGCACTCGCGCATACATGAGTCCAGCCGCCTTGAAACCTGCACCCCCTGAAATCTCATTCTGCACACGGACCCGATGCCTTGCTTCGCAACGTCCCTAAACCCGAAACCCCTAAACTCTAAACCCTAAACCCTGGCCCCTTAACCCTAAGCCCTCAACCCTATAAGCCCGAATGTGCCGAGGCATCTCGCAAGCATGATTCTGCATGGACCCCAAGGTTTCACTCTGCACATCGGCAGGAACGGCCACTGAGCTTGTCGTGCCTACAGCCACTTCTAGTAGCCTAACACTGCTACTAGTAATTCAGACGAGTTTTAAGCTTTAAGGCTCTTGGAAGTTTGCTTCTGACACTTTGGGGTTCCGGGGCTTTGATTTCTATACTTGGTTTCTGCTTGCGTGTAGAGTCATCGTATGGCGCCACAGGGGCAAAGGCAGGCACAGGGCGTCCGGCCGAGATCCCCAGTAGTCTCTCTGCTGCTCAAAGAGCTAGCAGGCAAGTGAGCTAGGATTTGGCAGACTTTGGCATCAGCAGAAGAAGAACAACTGGGTTTTGTGGGCTCTAGGTAGTCTAGGCTTTAGGAATCAGGGGCTTAGGGTTCCATGCTGCTCGGAGGAAAGGTGCTTTCCATTGCAGGGAATCCTCAAGTCAGGGATCCGGTGTTCTAGGCTTCGGAGCCGACTGCGAGTTACTGGTTATGGATGATATGGGAGTTTCCGAAATCAAGGGGCACCTTATTTTGGGGTCCTTACAAGAAGGATCCTACTATATTTAGGGTACTATATTAGGATCCCCTATCTTCGGAAACCCCCACATGATCCTCCGTTCGGAAAGTGCGTACTGCAAATACCTTCCCCGAATGCAGGCTCAGGAACTTGCGCGTACAGATGTGGTGTACGTAGGTCGGGTGAAAAAAACGCCTTTGCAGCTTCCCGTGCCCAGCCCGTCACATCAGGATCATAGGGACCTCTAGGGTAGCGCTGTTGATGTTCAATTTCTCTCACCCTGGTACTATCCTGAAGCTGCATTCATCCGAAACCACAGCTCCGCACCAGAGGTCCTATAGTAGGTTTTACTCCTGGGGAGCCACATGCCAAATCGTAGCTGCACCAGCGCTCTCCCGAACGACGCCGACACCAAAGCCCTGTCAAGAACCCTCAACGGCCTACGCACCCAATGTAGCAAACGCCCTCGCGTCACGCTAGGTGGTGAGATGCTCAGGGAAAAGGCAGGAGTCTACCAACCGTTTCCACTTTAGCTCTGTGCTTGCTGATCTTGTTCGTCAATGCAGGATCCTCACCATACAGGTGGTTAGCCCAGAAAAGGTGCCACGTTGGGGGCTTCATTTTGGGGATTCATTGAACTGGGAGGTAGGGCTTGGGGAAAAGCTGTGTAGTACGCTTACATCCGAAGCCGCGAGATCAGACTTTCGGGTGCCAGCTTTGTAGCCCCTCTTAAAAACTCTAGGAAGGAGTTGGTGGAGCCTTTTGGGACCTAGGCCGCGATGCCCCTCATACAGCCAGGCCGGCTCTAGAACCCCCCCTAAAGCCCTAAAACCCACGAAGAAGCCCACCTCCCCAAAAAAAAGAAAGTCCCTCAAAGTTGTACAGCCATAAAGGACTCTCCCCCTTGATATGTTCCTCAAAGCTGTAAGGCCATAAATAAAGAGCTCTGAAGCCCCAAAGCCCCTGAAGCCTTCCACTCGACAGGCCCCAAACCTTCACCCCAAAGCCCCAAAGCTGTATTCCCAACCCTAAACCCGCAACCCGAAACCCTAAGCGGCTTATGGAGAAAGGCCACTGCACTTAACAAAAAAAGCCACAAAAACCTAAACCCTAAAGCCTACAAAAACCCCACTTCGGGAGATCTCTGGACCGAAAGAACATGAATTCGGAGCACGCCGGCGCGCGCCGCGCCGTTTTTCAGAGTCAGAAAAGAAAAGGATCCGAAAAGATCGGAATCCGAGACCCTAAGCTCAAAACCATCCTACACCCTTAAAAACCGTCATAACACCTAAACCATCTTAGAGCCCAAAAGCGTCTCAACACTGAAGCCCAGAGTATCCTAAACCCGAGTTTAAAAGCCCAGAGAAGCTCTAAGCCCTGAACTTCATGAGCCCAAGAGTTCCCCGGTATGTCGAAACTTGAACGGTATGCTTTTGACTCGCGGTTTTGGGCTTTTAGGGTTTAGGGCTTATGGGGCTTGGGGTTTGGGTTTCGAGTGCCGGGTTGAGGCTTTACGCTTCTTTTCGTGGATTCTGGATGGTTGCGACCCCGGAACATTCGGGTGCAGGCCCTGGCTGCTGTACCGGTCTACCTGTAATCTCCAGTCTAGTTCCCTTTTTTGGGTTACCTCCTAGGAGCCTACAAATTAAACGAGTGTAGGTAAACCTGAACCGGTGTGGGGCTTGGGGCTTAGAGGCTTAGAGTTTATAGCTCCATCCTGGGGGTGCCCCAGCTTCGAAACCCTGAATGCTAAACCCCTCGTTTAGCGTTTTAGGGTGTAGGGTTTAGGGGTTTAGGGTTTAGGGGATTAGGGTTTGGGGGTTTAGGGCCGGGTTCAGGGGTTTAGGGTTTGGACCTCGACCCTGAACCATTGAGCCCATGAGCCCCAACACTTCCGAAGCCCGGGACCCCCGAACCTCTTTGAACCTCGAAGTCATGCTTCAGGCACTTGGTTAGTGGGTTATGTTCACTGACGGGCTTATCTAGGGGTTTAAGGGAAGTACCGCACTAGGGCTTCTATGCAAGCCCTTCGAAAGACATCCGCTGCTACGCACGAGTTTCGGATCAAAGCATCTGATTTCGGAGCTCTCTTTGTCTCCTTCTTGGGCAGAGCTCAAACATCATCTCTACGGGATTGATCCTCAAAACATCAAAACCACTGCAAGGCCCCCAAACCTACCTGCACCCTGCAGTGCACGAGTATGGCAAAAACGCTTGTAATAGAGGCAGCGATAGCAGGAAACAGGAATCCATCTGCAAAAACATCTCATCCCTGAGCCCTTCAGCTTGAACCAAGAAGACCTTGTCCCAAGCACTAGGAAACTTCCCTGGCTTTGCTTCGTAGACGCCTTGCTGCCCTCCTCCTCTCCTCTTCGGGGGCTGTTTGGAACCATGGGCTGCTGTGCCAGCTACAGCCGGATCCCTAGTCTCTTGGGTGCTCGCGGCTCTTTTCGGCCTTCAAGAATTTTTTTTTGTAATTATAACGGCTGCGCTCCAGAAGAAGTACGAAACAAAAAAGCATTCCATGGGCTCCGGTTCGGCTTCAGAAGATCTTGGGATCTTGGGAGTTGGGTTTTGGATTGCCTTAGGTTTCGTAGGTGTGTTCCATCGTGGCTGCCTCTTTGTTCATGGGCATTGGTAGATCAAGTGGGCATTGGTAGATCAAACCCTAAACCCCAAACCCACAAAACCCCCCATAGCTAACCCAATTGGAGTTTCGGACTTCGTTGTTTCTGTCAGTCGGTTTCTGGGTGATCTTCCCAAGCTCGGCTCTGTGAGTCTGAGAATCGCAGCCTGAATTCAGGATCAGGATCAGAAAACCCTAAACCCTGAAACCCTAAACACTCGAACCCTAAACCCTGAAACCCTAACCCCCAAACCCTAAACCCTGAAACCCTAAACCCCTAAACCTTAAAACCCTGAAGCCCTAAACCCTGTATTCCGGTGCGTTGAGTACAACGAGCTCCACGACGGGCGAGGTCGACTGGTGGCAGCAACGTAGGGGACCCTCCAGACTGGGGTGAGGACA